AAAAAAAAAAAACAAAACACAATAACTCCAAGTTAAGAATCTTATATGTTAAAAGATCTAATGAAGTCAGTAGAGGTAAGTTTTGTTTTGATCAATAGGAGTCCTGTCTAAGCTATGTATGTATTCAGGTTTGTTGAGCTATATCCATCCATCCACCCAACCACCCATCAATCCTTCCATTCAACCATCATCCTTCCACCCATCCATCCATCCATCCACCCAAAACTATCTGCAGAAGGGTCAGGAGTAAGGCCAGGAGATAGCCCAGAGCCACTCTGTCTACATTCTTGGGCAGTGGGTGGAGAGGCACTTATTATACAGACAAATGTGAGGCCTTGTTACCCTTTGCTTGGTGAAGCTTGGTAAGGTTGGGACAACCAGGGCTGAGAATCAGAAAGAAGCTAAGAGTAGGGTCCTGCTATCTCAGGGACTTCTGAACTTTAGCCCTCCTCTTTCAAGCCAGTACTGCAAATAGAAAATAGTACCTAGATGTTTTCCTCAATATTTAAAATGTTTTCTCTTTTGCTCTTTCCCTTTCCTTCTATACACTGAGGCAAGTACATATTCTTTCTAGGCATATTGAGGGAAGGATTGTGAGGTTGTTACAATACCTCTGATTTTCACATTTTTAGATATGAAAATCTAGACTAGATGACAAGTCCTCACAAGTGAGGAAAAAAGCCATCAGTAGTACAAAGACACTAATATTGACTTTTTGGAAGGTCCCTCCACTAAAAATTTGCTCACCAATCTACACGCCAAATGTAGCAATAAGCAAAGACTAGTTAGCTAGCAAGGTGAATGAGTGTGTTGAGATGTGTGTGTGTACATTTATCTTTAGGAGGCTTTTACTTTGGCTCTTGTGTCTGTATAATAATGAAAGAGTATCTGGACCTGTGCTAATTTTCTATATGACAGTATACAGCCACGTGCATAAAAGTTAATGGCTTATTTTTCAGCTCCATACTAACTATTTTAATGAACACTCCATACCAACCATTTTCATGTATATAAAGTTATATATATACACATTTTTATTTCACTAGATAAACTAATAACAATAGCTACTATTTATTGAAGGATGTAACATATGACAGCACATATGCACACACACACAATCCACAGTGAACTGGCTTACATTAGCAACCATCACTGCCAGAACTCAGAATATGCAGAGTTGGTATAAGTCCCTAGGAACAGTGGGGGTGTGTTTGCATATTTCTGTGAAGCTAGCTCAGAAGTCGCTTTAAGGTGTCCTTTCTCTATTCTTGTGGTATGTTGAAAACGTAATTAGCCTCATAGGTCTGTACTTCCAAGACTTTGCTCTCTTAAAATAAATACTCACATAGCTCTGAATGATTTAGCATGTCTTCCCTTAAATCGCTTCATAAATAATTCTTGGAATGTTTAATTATTATTATTCTTGCTAACATAATTCATTTTTTAAGAGTCCTTATTTCTTAAGATTACCATAGAACAATGGAATTAGTTGACTTGAAATCTGAATCTTTAGTAGCCTAGAGTGTGTGTGTGTGTATGTGTATGTGTATTTGAGTGGCACATACATATAAAATTGGAAAAATAAGAATTAAAAGTACATTTACTTTATCAGAACTTTTGCTTGATCCTGAGCTGGTTTTTCCTCTTCTTGCCCATGAAGAATTAATTCTGCTACTTTATGAAGCTGCTCAATACAGCGTGCTGTTACTTCTGCCAGACTTTCAATGGACAGCATGTAGATTTCCTGAAATAAATAAATGCAAGGAAGAAAATAACTCATCGAGCAGATGCTTTTTTAAAAACCCTGTGACACTAAAAATATTACATAATTCTTGAAAAAACAACCAAATATGACCTTAAAAAGTTTACCCAAAGATTAACGGGCCTAGGGGCCAACCCCATGGCTTATCGGTTAAGCATGCACGCTCCACTGCTGGCGGCCCGGGCTCGGATCCCAGGCGCACACCGACGCACCACTTGCTGAGGCCATGCTGAGGCCACGTCCCACATACAGCAACTAGAAGGATGTGCAGCTATGACATACAACTATCTACTGGGGCTTTGGGGGGAAAAATAAATAAATAAATAAAAGACTAACGGGCCTACCTAAGACTTTTCTAAGTGGAAATACTGCCATAAAAGAGAAACTCTGCCAGGTCCCCAGGGCTATGGCAAGCCTTATTCACAGCTGTGTGCCAGGTACTCAGAGCAATGCTGGGCACATGACAGGCAGGGGCTCAGGAATGTGTGTGAAAGGGTGACTGCACTAATAGACCTCAATGGACATTTTTCTTTAGAATGATCTAATTTAAAAACTTACTTTCACTAAAATTAAATTCAATGTAAAATGAAGTTATTGCAAACTCATTTTTGAACATGGGTGGGATATAAATTATGCACATATAAATTTATTAAACTACAGAATAAAAACTGTGGCAATGAAATTTTTTTGGAAAAAGCTTCAATTACCTCATTAGTTATGGGGCATAAAGACATTTTATAGTTACAAATTTGCATATAAGATGGAATTTTATCCTAAAGATAAATCAACTGTGTTCTTAAAGATCTTTTTTCTTTTAAATTATAACTGTAATGCTATGGAGAAAAGCTACAATATCTATGCTAAGTCACGAACTGTCTTGGCATGGAGACATTTCAGTGTTTATTACATTAATACTCATATTTCTATAACGTAGAACAGGGTACAAATGACAGTGAAATGGCCTCTCCTCACTTAAAATTAGGCTGCTAATAAAATTAACATAATATTACTGCTCTTTAGGCGGACAATCTAAAATAAATTTACCTCAACTGTCTTTGTTCTCCTTTCTTCCTTTCTATGTTCTTTGGGGTTTTCAGGTTTCTCTTCCTTTTCTTCATTCTTAGTTTTCTCCTCTGATTCTTCTGCCACATCTACCGACACCATGGTTTGATCTTCTTCCACCCAGTCATAAGCTTTTTTCATCGCCTGCAAAAGCCCCCAACCAAACCAATACATTTATTGTGTAAATATGGAGACCAAGAAATTCCAATCCCAAGACTAGGATCAAGTTGCCCTAAATCTTCAAGGGTGGTTCTCTGTACGTTTAAAGAGTGATGGGGCAATTCCTTAACCTCCTTAAAAACACCTTGTTGTTTACCTTTCTGGTAAATATAAAATAAGAAAAGAGACAGAACAGAAAGAAAATATGGAGAAAACGCTGCAGGGCTGGACAACTTTCTACAAAGCATTCTCAAATGACGCCCAGATACGAATAACAATGACAGTCACCTTGAAAGATCGATAGTATGTTTTTCACTTTTCATGATCAACCGTAAAAGAACAACAGTACTTTTAAAATATATACAGGTTAGAGATTTAGCCATGGTCACTGCTAAAGCAAATTTCCTCGTTTGATATGTCTCATGAAGCCCTTAATGTTTCATGAACCTAATAATGTATCATGCCAGGAAGATGAAGGATGGCTCTGCTCGTCCCTAGTCATGCCAGGTCTTCCAACTCAAGGGGGAGGAGAGAAGAGCCGTGGGAAAGATCTGGCTCTGTTCTGTGACTAGTTTAATTTCACACGAGTGCCGTTTGAACAACCTGTGGCCTAAAAAATTATGCTAAATTGAACAAGCAGAAACCACCTTCCCCATCTGTTATTCCCTGAATTTAGACAGGACAGACTCACCCAGCTTTGATCATTATAGTTTAAGCTGTTTGCTTAAGTGAAAGCTGTATCTGAGCTTATGCTAAACTTACTTCTCATCTTATAGCTTGCGCATCAAAGTTTAATATGTCAGAGTGTTGAATGGTGATAAATAAATGGCAAGCAATAGGATATATTGGAGCATATGAGGAAGCCATTTGGTATAAAACTAATTCAGCCTGAGTTTGTTTTTCCAAAAGGGCCTGTCGCCTTTAAACATGCATTGTGTATCTGCGTTACCAAGTCCCAAAGAGAAGAGTAAGTGCTCTTAAGATAAGGATGCAACTTCCCCCACACTGGCGTTTCCTTAAGGATAAGCATTTTTCCCTAAGCTAGGATTTGATTGCTGTACTCATCCTGTGACCACCCAACTCAAGACAAAGACCTGCCACCAACCATGCCTATTGAGACAGCAGACCTGCTACCGGCTGTGTCCATCAACAGCTATTCTGACAGGGTAGTCTGGCAGGGCAATCTTGTGGCTATTGTAAAACGGACGTTGCAATCATATGTGATACGTGCTCTTTGATGGTATATAACCGCTCTGTACACCCCACTTCTTTGGTGCCCTTACTTCCTTGGGGAAGGAAGGCTCCAGGCTATGATCCTCAAAAGTTGGCTCATAATAAACTCACCCCCATTTTGATTGATAGATTGATTATGGATTATTTACGTCAACAATGGCAAGTTAATGGCAAGAAGATTTGGGGTGACAAAACTCAAAAAAACTATCCTTGGTGTGTCCTCTTTTAGGGACAAAGGTTTACCTGACTGTGTAAATAAACCAGTGGGACCTTGGAGGCATACACACTCCGAGCAGTGGCAGGTGCCGCACGGAGATAAATGAGGCAATTTCCCACTGTGTTCAAGTCACTGACCTGCCAGAATCAGTGACCTCTATCGGAGATAAAGAAATTACTCATCTCTCCACCGCACTGCCTCATTCTGCCCTTTCCTCACCCACCTTGATAAGTGATGGTCTGTATCAACTACTGTTCGATAAGAAGACAGGAGGAAAAAAAGAGAGAGAATGGGAAAAATGACACAGTAATTAATAATCAGTGTCCTCATTAAGAAACTCCACAGCAAGACCTTGTACTAACTTGCAAAACGTACTGTGGTACTATTAGAGGAACTCAGACTGTTAAAGCTGGAATGTTTTTAGACATGCTGTAGCACCAACATTCCAGGGGACGTGTGGTTGACCTGGCTGAAGTGCTTCTTTCTGCCTAATTCTGGCATGTCACTTTATCGGGGGAGGGGAGATGGAATTTGAAAAAGCCCCTTGGTGATTCTGCACCTTTCTTCCCTCTCCTATGGTGAAGATAACCACTGCTCTGATGTAAAATTCTATTTTGGGGAGAAGTGACTTGTTCAAGGTCACAGGGTAATTACTAGTGAAGTTGCAACTGAAATGCAGCTCTCATGACACAATCTAGCATGTTGTCTACCACCACATTTCATTACGTTGCCTCCTCAACTCTTAATTATTGACCTCACGCTCCCCTCCCACCACGTGCCATTTGGGATTTGGGGCTTTTCCATTTCAGGTGAATCTCCGGAATTTTACAACCGAGATCTTTTTTTTAAAAAGACAAAAACGCAGACTCAGAAGGGGCTGACCTTATTGAGTTTGTCAGGCGTGGCCGCGACGTGTAATTCAAAGAGAAGCTCTGTGAGCATGCTAGCAAATTCTTCTCCCTTTTCTTCTAAGCCTAGAAATAGAAAATGACAGAAGTAAGAAGCAGGATTTATTTTTCATCCTTCAGAATGTGGCAGCTCCCCCAACCTTACAGCCCGCAGTCAGAGTACAAGTGGGGGCTGCAGCAGCCTGTCCTCCAGCTGCCAGGCAGGCAAAGGTGAGCTTCACTCGCTCATGGGCACAGCAGTGCGGCAGCAGGCTGCTGCTGGGTGAGGGGCTGCTGGAGCCTTGCTGCTCGCAGTCTGAGCTGGGGCACCGCCAGGCTGGCCTGAAGGCAATCTGAGGGCAGGGAGGGACTCAGCCATCTTATTCACAGCTATAGGTGCTCAGTAGCTATTTGTTGAAAGAATGACTGAATGAACAAATGAATGACCTTTTCAAGGCTTGAGAGCCCTAGGACAACACTGTGTTTATGACTTAGAGTATTGTCATGCTTAGCATTGCAACCCTAATGATACCCAGGGCGACCTTTTATGCCTTCAGAGCCACAGGGCTGAGCGAGCAGTAGTCTCGATGAGTCATGTACCATCTGATGTAACAGCATTATATCTCTGGAGAAATCTCCCAAGGTTTCCTAGGACACTTGTCTGGTCCTACAGTACTTCTTAATGATATGCTTTCCCTCCAGATTGGAAGCTACGTAAAGACAGAGATGGAATTTGTTTTGCTCATTCCTGTATCCAGAGGATCTAACACAGTGCATGGAACATAGGAGGTGCTAAAATGCATATTTATTGAATAAACAATGTATTAATAAATTATATCACATATAGCAATATATTGATTATATAAAGTATAACGTTATATATAATATATCATAAAATAAAAATAAATTAATATCATTGGTGGGTAATAAAGACGAGAGATCTTTAAAAGTTACAATCTTATTTCTGTCATTTGTATTTACAAGTCGAGGCCTTTTTTAAAGTTTCTGATAAGTGCTGAAGAATTAATTCCACAATCAGTTTATGACAGTTTTGGGGGAAATAAAAGCATCATTAATCTGGCTTGATTACACGATCTAAGAACCCTCTGAGAAGAAAATACTCTGGTTTATGTCAGTGAGGAAGGCAGTAGACAAAGCTATGTGAGAAATACCATATGTAACACTTGTCTACACGTGTTCTTTTCTGTTTTATAGACAAAATGTTAATCAGCAGCTCGTGAAGACAGCCAGGGTAACCTGTAGGTTTCCGTTTAAAACATTTGGCTTAACCAGTTTATCATCACCTACAATTTATATATTCTCATGGGGGAGACAGATCAATAAACAAACTAGATAAGTAAAACATATATGTCAGGTGAAAAGTTTTATGGAGAAGTATAAAACAAGGAAGAGGAATAGGGACAGCAAGGGGTTAGGAATTTTAAATGGGAGGGCAGCTGAGAAAGTGCCATTTGAGTAATGACCCAGAGGAGGAGAAGGGTGAGCCACACTAGATCAGGGGAAGAGATTTCCAGGCAGAGGCACCGTTAGTGCAAAGTCCAGGAGGGAGTGTGCCTGGCTTGTTCAGGGACAGCAAGGAGGCCAGGGTGGCCGCAGCAGCGGGAGGGCAGCGTGTGCCCTGGGGTGGAGAGAGAGATGGCTGTCTTTGTTAATGATGAAGCTGACACAAGCAAATCGTTATAACCCAAAGAGCTAAGTGCTCTGACGGAGAGGGCTTCTGCAGCACCTAATCCAATCCTCAGCGGGGTACTAAGAAGGCTTCCTGGAGGAGATGATGCCTGAACGGAGGCTTCAAGAATGAGAAGGCATTAGTCACATGCACAAAGAGAGAGCTTGGGGGTGAGAGACAGAGAGACAGACAGACAGAGAGAGAAAGAGAGAGAGAAAGAGAGAGAAAGAGAGAGAGAGAGATTCCCCCAAAAGCTGAGATTCTCTCTCTCTGCTGGGCAGAGGTCTTGGTCTCATCCTCTCCAGGTAGGCAAAGTAAAAGGGGCAAAAGTAGGCAAAGTAAAAGGGGCAGTGGCACATCGGGGCAGCATGGACAAGGTCTCGTTCCCAAACTGCCTGGTCCTTCTCATTCCGTAAGAGGCAGTGTTACAGGGCAGAAAGAGCCGTGACTGAGACTTGGAAGGAGGTTCTACCCCGGCTCCTGCATTTGGTGGCTCTGTGACCTGGGGCCAGTCACAGGGCCTCTCAGCTTCCATTTCCTCCTCTGTAAACTTAGGATAATAAAACCCACCCACCTCCTCTTGAGCATTGTTGTAACGACCAAATAATACAACAAATGTGAAAGGATTCCGTAAACACTAAAGTTTTACGTAACTATATTGTTATGTGCTAAAAGATATACACATAGGAAAATTAAAAATATTTGGGAGTTGAGGCCTTCCTGGTGGCATAGTGGTTAAGTTTGTGTGCTCCACTTTGGCAGCCTGGGGGAGTTCACAGGTTTGGATCCCAGGCGCGGACCTATGCACTGCTTATCAAGCCATGCTGTGGCAGGCGTCCCACATAAAATAGAGGAAGATGGGCACAGACGTTAGCTCAGGGCCAATCTTCCTCAAACACACACACAAAAATATATTTGGGAGTCATCAACACTAAATTAAGATATAAGTACTTGTGCAGCTCCAATTTTTAAATGTACATTTGTTCTATATAACAGAAAAACACACGAGCTACTTTTAGCAAATATTTTAGGAAAAACATCACAGAGAAAAATGGAAGTAGAAAAAAATAGATGATAAAAAATGTTGCAACAAAGAATACCTATTACTACAACTCTTATTCTGTACATATGGCTGAGAAGATCTTCACCAAGGATATAAAAATAGAAAACATCCTTTTAAAATCTCTTCACAGGGGCCGGCTCTGTGGCTTGGCGGTTAAGTGCTCGCGCTCTGATGCTGGCGACCCGGGTTCGGATCCCGGGAGCGCCCCGAAGCACCACTTCTCCCTCCAACACGAGGCCGGGTCCCACGTACAGCAACTAGAAGGATGTGAACCTATGACATACAACTGTCTACTGGGGCTTTGGGGGGAAAAAACTGAATAAATAAAATCTTTAAAATCTCTTCACAATAGTGTGGTAAACCAAATTAGAGACCCACGGCAGTGTGATAAAATTACAATCTGCTGGAAAGACGAACATGCAAGTTATTAGCTAACATTACTAAATGCAGAAGAGCTCGATATTAAATTTATCTAAAAATGACAATTGTTTAGATTTTCTGAGACTATCAAATTATTTAGGTGTTAGGAGGCTTTTAGGAATGTAAGTGCTTACAAGAAAAAACTTTGATGAAAATGCTCTTGTCTAAGAAAGCTTTGCTCCTGGATAAGATTCCTCTCTACAGATTTTAGATAACCCCTCCACCGTTCTGGAGTGGTAACACTTCATCACAATTGGATTGATTTAATGGCAACCCTGCTATTCTTTTTTCCCGGTTCTTCAAGTGTTTGAACGACATTTATTTATTAAATTAAGTTAATTAAAATTAAGAGTGTTTTGATAATCTGGAGCTGCCCTCTGGGAAAACGGATATATTATGGGAGATAACAGTGTTCTGTCACTTAAGGACAGACAAACCTACCATTTCTTAAGCATGCTGTTCAGGACTTCAATATTTTTTTGGTCATATTCAAAAAATCTCAATTTACTGAAGCTCTATATTTAGACTGGAACACATCACATATAGTAACACGTTCCATTTCACAGTATTGAATCAAGTTTCCTCTCCCAGAGATAGCACTAGTTGGGGGTGCAATACTGCTTTAACTTGCACTGGCAACAATATCTCTTTGATGTTAGGGGGAATTTGGGATCCTCTTTGAATGACATTCCCAAATAGGACCAAGGTCTACCTCAGGCATCATGAAACTGAAGAGAAATAGCCTGGATCATCTTTTTGGTGATTGTTACTCTGGAAAAGAAGCATCTATATTAGTTCATCTTGGGTCCATAATACTAGCTGCGTGGCCTTTGACAGCTAGTGTCTTAGCTTCGTCGTTATTAAAACAAAGACAAGGCTGTCATGCTTTCTGACTTTGTAGAAACACACAAATGCTCAAAAATGTTATTCTTCTAACTATCTCTTTGATATTGGCCTCTTTCTATGCTTCAGTCTAATGGATTCTTCTATTTTGATGCAATGAGCATAAATCTCATTAATCACATTAAAGTGAACGCACACAAGGTCACTATGTGGGGCTAAAGCAGGAGATGATATTTAAATAGCAGTTTGCAAATGCTTAGAATAATTTTTCCCTGAGCATCGAGGCTGAAGCATTTGACCTCTTGTGTTCGAGCTTTGATTAAAGGTATGTAACACGCCTGGGAACAAAACACCTCGAGTGACTTCATGGTATGAATGCACATTATCACTATTCTGCGTGTGGGTAATAACAAGTACAATCATAAATAAAAACTATATTTGGGCCGGCCCCGTGGCTTAGCGGTTAAGGGTGCGCACTCTGCTGCCGGCGGCCCGGGTTTGGATCCCGGGTGTGCACCGACGCACCGCTTCTCCAGCCATGCTGAGGCCGCATCCCACATACAGCAACTAGAAGGCTGTGCAACTATGACATACAACTATCTACTGGGGCTTTGGGGGAAAAAAATAAATAAATAAAAATTATAAAAAAAAAACAAAACTATATTTGATTTCACCTTTATTATTTTCCTGGCATTATGTTAGCACTTTAAGTAATAATAGCAGCTATTATTTTTTTAGCAGTTTTGTGTGCCAGGCATTGTAATATATGTTTCTACATATATTATCTAATTTGATCCTCACAATAGCTCTTGGGAATATGTATCACTGTCTTCATTTTACAGGTGAAGATACTGAGTTTCAGAAAGGTGGTATAACTTGTTCAGGGCCATACAGCAAGTAAGTGGTGAAAAGTTTCAAATGGAACCCTTCAGATGATCCCAGGAGAAGCCTGCCTTGTGTGTCCACGGTTGCTTAAATTTTTAGCATAAGTGACACAAAACAACTGTGGTTGTGGCGCTTGGTGGTGACATCAGTAAGAAATCACTCTCTATGTACATAGCAAATATTTTGCCAAATTCTGTTCCCAAATGGAAAATCTATTCATTAAGCATGCCCAACTTTGAGACCTTTTTTTCCCCCTCTCAAGGAATCCTTGCTTCTCACAAAATAGGTTCTAGTCTCCTTGGCGTCATGTCATTATCCAGCTGGAAGATTGTTGGAAGTGCATACCTGGCTCAGTTCAGTGATTGACAACCCAACACATCACACCCTGGTGCACTGTGTCTCTTCGTCAGAACTGTACTTTTTAGGTGGAGTGTAGGCCACTTACCAGGACACCTTAACTCCTACACATGTAAATGAAAAGGAATAAGAAAATATGAAAAGAAATCCACTGAAAGACCTGCCCACCATCAACATCAATCACATTCAACAACTTCCTCATGCAGATAAAAAATTAGACATCGGAGCATAAACTCTAGTCATCAGGGCCCTGTCTAGTGCACTGCGATCTTTGTTCATTCAACCATATGCATTTATTGCCTGCCTGTGATGTGCCAGGATTGTGTTGGACACCGAGAAATAAAGATGCCTCAAGCAGGAGTTCCTGTCCAGCGAAAGGGAGGATTACAGATCAATGTGACCAGCTCTGGAAACAAGAGCAGATGCACGGAGTGTTTTGAAAGCGGGGAGGAGGAGTACCTGAATTAAATAATCCCACCCCTGTCAAGGGGCTGTGCTTAGTAACAGCGTTTCATAAGGATTGTACCATTTTTGCTCTTTAACTGGTTATTTACCTTTACCTTGTTCTTCTTGATTCTCTTCATTCTCTAATTCTTTGGCTGCAAAGATGTCTTTAATGGAAATTAGGTCATTTTTTAAGAGTTCCAGCTTCTCTCCATCAAGGGTTGCTAAAAATGACTGAACCTGAAAAAAGAAGTAGGTCGGCATAACTGTCATCTTGTCTTCTCATTAACAATGTTTACGTACAGCCGTCCCCAGTTCTCCCAGCCTCCCAGTTCTCCCAGCCATCCCCAGTTCGGCCCCAGAATCACTGAGGTGATTGGTGGTGTGGGAGGTTGCATGTGGGATTTACTGCCTACTAACTGTGCAGTGCAACTTGGGGTAAGTTACACAAGTTCCTTGGGCCTCAGTTTTCTCATTTTTTAATTGAATGTGTTTGACATATAACATTGTGTAAATTTAATTTAAGGTGTACAATGTGTTAATTTGATACACGTATATGTTGTAATATGATTGCACTTAGAGCGATGTTTAGCACTTCTATCACCTCACATAATTATCCTTTCTTTTTAGTGGTTGGAATCATAAAGTTTTAGTCTCCTAGCAAATTTGATGATTGTAGTACAATATTGTTGTCTATATTCATTATACTGTGCGTTAGATCTCTGTGGCTTATTTACTACTTGTTGCAAGATTGTACCCTTAAACAACATCAGTCTAATCTCCCCAACCCCATTCTGGTAACCGCCATTTTACTTTCTGTTTTTATGAGTTTGACTTTTTTAGATTCTACATATAAGTAAGATCCTACAATACTTTTCTTTCTCCGTCTCATTTATCTCACTTAGCATACTGGGCTCAAGGTCTACCCATGTTGTCATAAACAGCAATATATCCTCCTTTCTCATGGCTGAAGGATATTCCATTATATATAAATATACATATATATACGTCACATCTTTTTTATCCATTCATCCATTGATGGGCATTTAGGTTGTTCCCATATCTTGGTTATTGTAAAAAATATTATAATAAAAATGGGAGTGCATATAGCTCTTCGAAATCCTGTTTTTGGTTTCCTCAAAAAATTAAAAATAGATCTACCATACGATCTAGCAATTCCACTTCTGGGTATAGACCCAAAGGAAGTTTTTCTCAGTTTTAAAATAAGATCCACATTTCATTGTGATCATTTGTGGAGTAAGTGAAGTAATGAATGTGAAGTACATTGCACAAGTGCACACAGCAGACGCTAAATAAATGGTGGTGGTAGCTCTTCTGACATAGTGGTTAAAAATACTCTTTGATGTCAACCCTGGATTCAAATATCAGCACTTCACTAACTAATTATGTGACCTTTGGTAATTTATTTTACCTTTTTGTGCCTCAGCTCCCTTATCTATAAAATGGGGACTAATAGCACCTACCTTGTAAGGTTGTTTTGAAGGTTAAATAAAATGATGTACTTAAATGTATTTATAGTGATGGTCAATAAATTATATATAGATAGATCGATAGATACACAGACATAAACAAACATAAATAAATAAATGTTATATGTATATATACAAATATACATATACACTTGCTAGATGTGTGTTATTGTACTGGGGTTATAAAAATGCACAGAACATATTTTTCTTCTCAGAGGTCTTGCAGTCTACAGGAGGCAGGCCCATGTCAACTGATAATAGCCACAACAGATGTGAGTGCAATGACAGTGGGGGCACCTGGAGGGAGCTGCAATCCCCCTTGGGGAGGTGAGAGGGGCTGTGGGGAGACTTCACAGGATGACACTTGAACTGATGTCCTCTCTGCTCGTTGTCTTTGGAACCCTTCTTTTGAAGCTAACCTTTGTAAACAACTTGCAAGTTATTTGTACAGATGGCCAGTCATCCTCTGTGAATCTGAAGATTGATTTTAATTTTCAAAATGGTCAAAGTGCATGGAGAACCATAGAAAAAGTGAAACATGACTATAAAGTATTATAAAGGTTTTAATTTTTTCGTTCTGCAGATCAAACACTTGCTCTGGAGGGAGAGCCAGCAGAGGAGCCACAGCGCTCTGCGGAATATGTTTTAATATTCATTACGGTAGTAGATTTGTACATCAGGATAAGTGAGAGAGTTAGAGAGGGCATCCGAGATGCCAGGACACCATTTTCCTAAAAGTTGCTAACGCACATCACTAGGGCATAATGCAACGGGCACCAAGGCTCTGGGAGGAAGCTCAGCAGGAAGTCGTCAACACTAAACCCATTAGCCACAGAGTTCAGCAGGTGGCAGCAAATGCGCCCTGCAGGATGGCTGCTGTCACTCCTTTTAGCCCTGACCTTTTCAGAGTCCTCACATTTAGGTCTCAGGGTCCTAGATGTGTGCACATCATATTTCTATGCTTTAGGTATATTTTCTAAACAGGGATTTTCTAAGAGTAAAAAAAAGGTAATTATTGAATAAATGTGCTTGAGTATAACACTTAGCGAAAATGGATAAGCATATGTGGAATATTTTGGTTTTCCCGTATCTTCTGGAGAGTGGCCATCCTCTGGGAGTGAATGCACTGGGGTTTTATACTTTTGGCATCCCTTGGGAAGGGTTCTTTTTCGTGAAGGACTCTTTTGTCAGCATCTTTCTACTATAGCATCTCTTTTGCTTCCTTCTAGTTCATTCCATTATGCCAAGGTAACGTGCATTGAATCTTCACTTCAATCCAATAATAAATATTAAATAATCATGCACTCCTCTATAAGTACTTGTGGGATGCTAACTAGGCTTGGCACTGTGCTAAGTGTTGTCGGGGACACGGGGTAGATAGTCTGCCTTGTAAATCTTTTCCCTGAAAGGGGGTGTGGGGTGCCCCTTTGAAGATTCTTATTTACTATTTTTGTTAACTATTGAGTATAATGGCAATAAAAATTATTAGTTTTTCCTTAAGATTTATAGAACACCACAATGCCATGCCCGTTGCCATCCTAGAATCAATCTAGTAGAATAGTAATGATAATAATTCCTTATATTTCCATACAAGGTGTCTAAGTTTTAGCCAATGGAATGTCAGCAGAGGTGAGGCGTACCATTTCCTGGCCTAGGCTTTTAAAAAATGGGAGCGTCTCTTCCATACTCTCTCTCCTTAAGCTGGTGGGATAGAGAAGACAACGAGGCCCTAGAGGATGGTGAAATCCAATGCTTGAAAACTTGGATAGAGGGGAGGCCACTGGGCCAAAGGGATGCGTCCACCCAGAGCCCACACTCTCCCTTCTAGACCACTCTCCTGAAGGTCCTTCCATGGCCTGTATGGACCTCTTCCTCAGGCTGTGCTCCTTACATGGGGACCGTCCACTGGAGTGTGCACCCCTAGGCCCAAGGGATGGCCAAGAGGTGGCTGTTTGCAGGGGTGTGGATGGAGCTTGAACTAGGGCATCCTCATCTGCACACATGAGATTCCTTGATGTGAGAGACAGCTGGAGATAAAGGGAAGCGAGCAGGCAGGGGCATGGTGTGGAAATTTGAGGAGTTTGAGAATTCTAAATGGAAACCTGGCCTTCCAAGTCATTATGAAAGTATATTCGTCAATGTAGGCTGACCAAATATATTTTCTTTAACAAATTGTTTAAAAACTCCTTTAACTTCTAAATATTTGGTATGTGTAGGGTTGCCAGATAAAATATAGGATGTGTGTGTCTCAAATATTGCATGAGACCTATTTATATTAAAAAAATAGGGCCGGCCCCGTGGCTTAGCGGTTAAGTGCCCGCGCTCTGCTGCTGGCGGCCCGGGTTCGGATCCCGGGCGCGCACCGACGCACCGCTTCTCTGGCCACGCTGAGGCCGCGTCCCGCATACAGCAACTAGATGGATGTGCAGCTATGACACTATCTACTGGGGCTTTGGGGGGAAAAAATAAATAAATAAAATCTTTAAAAAAATATTCATTGTTTATCTAAAGTTAAAATTTAACTAGTCACCCTGTATTTTTATTTGCTGAATCTGACAACCCCAGTATGGATCTCCATTTGTATTCTTGCCAGAGGTCTGTGAAAATTAGGATGGGTCTAGTGGAGCCACAAGATGGACAGAGCCTGGCTTCCACATCCCTAAATGCAGGAAAGCTCCTTGCTCACCAGGTACCCCCATCTTGGACTATTTTAGGAGTGAGGATAACTCCTACCAGTTTTTAAAAAAAATTTTTGTTTATTGCAGTAACATTGGTTTATAACATTGTATAAATTTCAGGTGTACATCATACTTCTATTTCTGCATAGATTACATCATGTTCACCACCCAAATACTAATTACAACCCATCACCACAAACGTGTGCCGAATTGTCCCTTTCGCCCTCCTCCCTCCCCACTTCTCCTCTGGTAACCACCAATCCAATCTCTGTCTTTATGTGTTTGTCTGTTGTTGTTATTATCTACTACTTAATGAGTGAGATCATACGGTATTTGACCTTCTCCCTCTGACTTACTTCACTTTGCATGATACCCTCAATGTCCATCCATGTTGTCACTCCTACGAGTTTTGACCCATACATTTTTAGGACTGTATATTACAGCACCCAGCAACTATTATTACCAAGCCAAGAAAAAATTCTGCATTCCTTACTAGGAACACTGCAAAAATCTCCAAGCTGAGGAAAGAAAGCAGAGCTCGTGGGAGCAGTGCACAAACAGAGGGAAATGTACCCCTCCAGGGACCAAACCTCCTTCCTAGCAACATCAGTCCTTTGGGGCTCTTTTCTTAGGGGCCTGGGTCTGTTTCACAGCTGAGACCCGCGATGGAACCAGCCAGAGTGGAATCTCTCTCTACTACCATGATAACTTCAAGGGGCCATGCTTCTCTGTAATGTTTCTTAATAATAATAACAAATATATATATATATATATATATATATATATATATATACACATACATAACATAAAAATGCATATAAAAATAAAATGTCATCCACATTATATATGCATATACATACATATGTATAAAATGGCAGCTAACATTTATTGAGAGCTTATTATGTACTAGATATGCTGCGACTGGCTTCACATGGATTATCTCATTTAATTCTTTTAATAATCCTATGAAGTAGGTTTTATTATTATTCCCATTTCATAGATAAAGAGATTGCAGTAAGATGAGTCCAAAATCATACAGCTACTGAGTGGTATTTGATCATATAATGTCTGATGCTAAATCTAGCTTTTATAGGGAAAAATGTGTGCTTCAGTGGAAAACTGCATTTTCTAGAGAACACCTTACCAGATTACTGGATTCTGCCTCTAGGGGAGAAATTTTACAAATCTATAAATTGCAGATAGCTGACAGCAGTGTGAAATAATTCTTGTCTACAGACATGGGAATAAATTTTGTCCAGTGGAGGGACAGCCTCCCCTCCTGTGGAAAAACCAGGTTTGTGTCCATTTGCACTTTCATTTCAAATTGCTTTACTCCATATAGATTTATGCTTTGGCTTTTCCTTTGAACTGGTTATAGCATCTGTCTGGTTCCTTCATTTAATTAATGAGCTGAATAAATTCTTTAATTCATGTTCATTTTGTATCTGAGTCATGATTTTGCTTTTCAAAAAAATTATCCTGTATCAGTTTAACCACAAGACTGTTCCTGATGGCTCACGGATAACCAAAAAAGGAAATAAATACAGACAGTAACATGTAACTTGATAATCTTGGGTGTGTGCTGTGTGTGTGTCTCCATCCTTTGTGGCTCTTGGTTGCCTGTTATGTGGCAGAGGCCATCTTTCTCTGACTAGGTGGGCATCAAGAGTGTCTCAGCCTCCTCAAAGTCCAAACATAAGAAGGTATGGCCTAGAGAGAGTCAAAAATCACTTCTCCATTCTAAGGCTCACTTCGAAGTTCAACTTCCTGTCTGAGGACCTGCCTCTCTCCAGTGAATGTCATTGGGATGGCCCAAAGCCCCTCACCAGGAGGTTCAGAGGGTACTGTCCTGTGGCCTCCGCTGGAAAAACACCTCAGAGTACAGTCAGCCTGACATTCCCACAAAAGAGCCATGTATACAATTAAATGAGTTAATTTTAAAGTGCTTAGAATAGTGACTATAAAAGTGTTTGCTAAATAAAGACAGACACACACTCACCACATAGATTCTTAAAAAAACAAATAACCAAACCCTGCTGATTTCTGCTATTTATGTTTTGTTTCCTGGGATCACAGTGCGGGAATGCGAACGTGCAGGGCTGTTAGGTAATTCCCAGGTTTCTGTTCAGGAGCATTCCCAAATAGAACTTTAACCCGGAGTAGGATAATCCCGCCCTTTGCGGCCCAGGCTTTCTAACAAATGGGTGAATAAATAACTATATAACCTATAAAACTAAATATATTAAAATCCTACAGTCTGGAAAAAACATTAGCTGTTTTGTTTTCATTGGGTAGGAATAAAGACGTGGCCTGTAGGGCATCTCTGATCTGGGTATTACGTCACCAAAGGGAGGCACAGGGCCAGGAGCCTGACAGCCAAGCTTGTGAGCAGCGTTTTGCACCATGAGGTGGGGGTAGTGAGGACTCTTACTGTGCTGGCCCTCTTGGGGCTGCAGAGGGGTAAGAGCTTGGCGCAGGACAGAGACGAAATAATATGGAGCATGAGGGGGTCATCAGGCTGTCCAGTATTTGTGATCTTAGCACAATAATTATGAAGCTCTGAAAACGAGATATTTTAACGAAGACTTTCCAGTTTCTTTCATGTTTAAAAAAACATATCAGTGAAGATGTTATTTGAAATGACCAGTGCAGACATACCTTGCTCTCACTTTCATTGGATAAAATTTCCAAGGCTTCCAGGTGTGACAAACCTTGATACTCATCAAACAGCATCCCGTAGTGTGCGGTCCTCTCAGCCGTGAGCTGCTGAGCCAGTCTCTGCTTCTCTTTCTCTTTGGCTTCCCTTAACATCTGCAGAAACACACAATGTTTGTACATTAGATGTATACTTGAAAGCTCCATTTCCTGCCTGACAGAAGGGGAGATGAGGACTGACTTTGTATTTGAGAAGGGTAGGTTTTAGTCACTTTGGCATTTCAAAAAAAATTATTTATTTGATTGACTCATAATATTTCCATAATATTCCACTTTTTTTATGTGTTCATTTTATACATGACAAAACAAAGCAAAAATTCTATACCCAGGAACAGGACCGGAAAGAAGCACAACAAAAGCTTAACAGTGGTTTCCAGTGAAGTGTTTCCCACGTGTGTGATTAATTTTCTTATTTTCTAAAATGTTCAAACTTTCTATAATGAGCAAATTTTATATACACTGAGAAAGTTTAATCTATTGCGACAGGATTAATTGCAACTTCTGTACCTAGGCAGGCTTCAAAGCAGTAATATTTTGGTCTGATTTTATACGAATTACATTATTTAAAAAACTTTGTATGTGTGGTTATTAAAATCTTCAATGAAAAAAATTAGTAAAATATAAACTTGTAACGTATTCCTCCCCAGGCAGTGAATATAGCTTACCAATTCTTAGATTGGTCTCGAGAAGTATGACTGTGAGCCAAGTTTCCATCCAGGTTGATAATTTTTCTCCAGTTATTTCTTTTGTTAATAAAAAGGCAACAAAATGAACACATGTCCACCAGCCACTCCCAATTTCCTGAACTTGCTTTCTTTGATTCTAAACCTCTTTTATTTGATTCCTCATCAAGTTTACTGGGGCATTACGTTTAAAGGGTTCTTTAATAGCTGTGAAGAACACCATAAATACAGTGGCAACCACAAGGTCACAAAGGGAAGCTCACAGAAGAACAGATTTTGGTTTTTATTGTGTCAATAAAACAATCAACCTCATTCTCCTTTTGGGTTCTTGAGGTTGTTAGCCAAAAACCCACTGGGCCACAGACAGAATTCTCCCTCCTGCCTGTCTGTAAGGAGAAATAAGCACAAACTCTGAATTTTAAAGTTTTCAAAACAACCGCATCAAATCATCACTGGGAATTTTCAACATTTACAATAAAACCCAACCACCCGCACCGATCTCACTGGTTTGGTGGAGGTAAAACAAAATAAAGTGATACGGAAATTGCTTCCTTTCTCTACACCAACTTCCACCTCTGAATTTGTACTTTGGAATAGAGGGGAAAAGGGAAGAAATGGAAGGTAAAGGGGAAACGTCACTCTGGAATGATCTGGATTCACTCAAGAAATGGAGAGTGAAATTAAAGTCGCCTAGAGAAGCACTGGCTTTCTACAGGGTGTTGGTTCTATTTTCTCTCCGGAAAAGAAGAGGAGATGGTTTTAAACAGCAGTGAGTGGTTCTAGCGTGAAGACCTCCTAGTAGAAGGGCAGCTCTGGAGACCTCCCTCAGGGGGACTGGAGACCCACTGTCTCCGTGTAACTCAGGGGTTCCGGTACTACTGGGAGAGAACATGGGAGAAACTTAGGGAGCATGTGGATGAACATTTCTGATTTCTATAGTTATTTATTGTGGATTAGGGAAAACACAACAGATTTCTCTATCTCAGTTGATGGTGGCCTCATCCCTCCAGCTGCTCAGGCCAAAAACCTCGGCGTCATCCTTGCCTCCTCCTTTTATCTCATAGCCCACGTTCAATCCTTCAGGAAGTCTGGATCAACCTGCAAACTATACCCAGAATCAGCATTCCTCACTATCCTCGTGGCCCCACACTGCTCTGAGCCACCATGACCTCTTGTTTAGATAATGGCAATTGCCTCCCGAGGAGGCGGCGAGAGTGGAGCATAAATGACCAAAAGCCCCAGATGCTGCTCTTCGGAACCCTTCATGCCTCCCACGACACCTCCCCACCAATCACCAGAGCAGCAGGGACACTAAAGCAGACCTGTTCCCGGGAGACAGAAACTCCCTTGTCAGCAGACTTTGGCTGAAGGACCCTCCAAGGCATTGCCAAACTTTCCCTAGAGAGCACAGCAGTCTAGGACGCTTCCACCCTATCTCCTCTCCCTCTCCTCTTCCCCGGGGCCAGACTCGCATCTTGGTCTGATGGCTCTGCCACCCTTCCTGGGTATCCCCTCCCTTTTCTCTCACTCAAGCATTTCCCCTAACAAAATCCTTACATGTTTAAGCCCATCTTGGCATCTGCTTCTGTGAGGACTTAGATTGATACACACTCTAACTGGTCTCCCTGCCTTCGGCCCTCCCTGCCACCCAGCCTATTTTCAACACAGTAACTAGAGTGACCCTTTTAAAGTCAGATCTTGTCATTCCTCTTTTCAAAATGCTGCAATGGTTTCCCCATTTCCCTACCAGTAAAACCCACGGTCCTTACAAATGCCCTCCATGATCTGCCATCACCTGCTCCCCATTACCACTCGGGCCTCATCTTCAACAACTCTCATCCTGGGCCACTCCTCTCCCACCATGGAACATCCTTGCTGTTCCTTGCTCATACCAGACACTCCTGCCCCAGTGCCTTTGCACAAACCACTTTCTTCTGCATGCAATGTACTTCATTCGGATTTCTGCATGGTCAAGCCCCTCTTCTCCTTCAAATATTTGCTCAAATGTCATCATCTCCATGAGGCCACCCTCTCACAATGCAATTTAATACTTAACCTGCCCCTCACTCCCACATTCCTGATTACCCTGGTCCTGCACTACTTTTTCTTTTTTTCCACAGCATTCATCATCTTCTAAAATACTAGATAATGTTGATTGTTGTTTATCTCCCCTCACTGGAATGAAAACTCCTTAAGGACAGGCATTTTTATCCACTTTGGCTGCTGATGTATCTCAAGTGCTTGGAACAGTGCCTGGCACATAGTGGACATTCAAAATGCATTTGTGGAATGAATGAATGAATGAATGAATGAAAAATTACTGTTTGGAAGAAGTTTAAGGTTGGTAGTATTGTGGTGATCCAGTTTAAGCCAGCCATGTGGATTATAGGTGCAATGCTCAAGTGTGCCCAGAATGTGGTGTAGCACACTTTCTGCATGTGTTTCAGATGTGCAAGTAGAACAAACACTGCTGATGGCCAGCGTGGATTCTTGGGTGACACATTTCTCTGAGCATTGCCACTCACTTTTTAGCAGTAGACTGAATGCAAATGTGATAAAAATTATGAAAGTGACACAAAAATTATGGTAATCTGGGAAACTGACGAGGTCCAATTCTTCATTTTACACGTGTGTAAACTTAAGCCAAAGAAGCCACAGAATTAGCCAGTATCTGCACTTGGTCACATTTCCCCCCACATTACCACCTTCTTAACCAGAATGAAGTTTATATATATATATATATATGTATTTGTATATGTATATATACACATATATATGTTTATATGTATGTACATGTATGTGCACATAATATAAAAATATATACACACATATATATAATCTTGTGGCAAAAATATTCCTATGTGCTCACCAAATATCCTTTTCCTCCTAGACACACAGCTGAACTGTATTTCTCAGCCCTCATGAGTTGAATTAGGTAAACTGTAAGATAAATTTTGGCCAAAGGAATGAGGGTAATCGTGATGTACGCCACCTCTAGGCTAGTCCTAAATTGTCCCATAGGGCCCTCTACATCCTTCCTTCCCCTTTCTATGAGGCTGGAAGCAAAGGATTTCAGGACGGCAGAGCCACAAGACGTGGGCTCAGAAGAGAGCTGCCCAAGAGAGGCCCCTGAACTGGCACACACACTGCAGGAGCGACTGACAAATCTTTTTTGTTCTAAGCCACATTGATACTTGAGGGCTGGATTTTTTTTTTTTTTTTTTTTTTTACAACATCTAGTGTTAATTACCTGATTCATACAAATCTATTTGCTTTTTTAAAGATCAGTAGGGTGATGGTCTAGATGATCGTGCCTGGGCTACAATATCAGAGTGGTTATATGTGGATTATTCTGGAAGAGACAACAAGAAATAGCTTAAAAAAAAGCTTCTCAGGAACTGCCACTAACAATGTTGTCAGTGATGGCTCCTTCATGGCTTCCTAGTACTGAGCCATGAGAAGATATGTTTGTCCTGCCTGTGAAATTTACAAAATCCACCGCTGCATCAGCTGACCCTGATTTCAGTAAGGCATAGAGAGGCTTGGTGTGTCAGACTCTTAAGGAAAAAGGGGACAAGGGGCAATTCTTGCACTGTGGAGTATAAGCTGGGCATGTGCCATCTGAAAGAGTGAGCTCAAGGTTAGAGTTTCACATTTGGAAAATAAGATAAATATTATTTTTAATTTTCTTGACTACTGTAAGTAAGCAAAACATAGATTAAATTCTTCATATCATATTTCTCAAGGAGAATTGGAAAACCTTAGAGCTGGAAGCGTGAGAGGAGAAGCCCATCCTTGCACAAAGTAAGAGAAATATAAATTAAAATTCCAATGAGATAGCATTTCCACCTATGATATTGACACATAATAATTACAACAACACTAACTGACATTCCCGAGTGCTTACGATGAGTCAGGTTCTATTCTAACTCATTTAATTCTCACAACAAAGCTATCAGTAATCTCACAACAAAACATCCGTATTGATGTTACTCCCAGTGTATAGATGAGTAAACTGAGGCACAGGAAGGTTAAGTAACCTGCTCAAGGTCATGCAGCTAGACAGTGGCAGAGCTGGAATATATACAATGGTCCTATAGACTGAGTGCTTGTGTCCCCCCAAAATTCATATGTTGAAATCTAATCCCCAATGTGATGGTATTTGAAGGTGGGGTCTTTGGGAGGTGATTAGGTTTTGAGGGTGAAGCCCTCATGAATGGGATTAGTGACCTTATAAAAAAATCCCAGAGAGCTCCCTTCCACCATGTGAGGATACAGCGAAAAGATGGCTGTCTACGAACCAAGTAGTGGCCCCTCAGCAGACACTGAATCTATCAGCACCTTGATTTTGGACTTCTCAGTCTCCAGAACTATGAGAAACAAATGTTTGTTGTTTATAAGCCACCCAGCCTACGGTATTCTATTATAGCAGCCTGAATGGACTAAGACAAATGGCATAAATGGCATAATCTTCAAGAAATTATTAAGTGAATAAAGCAAGGTACAAAAGAATGTGGTGAGTATGCTACCATTTGGTTGAAAAAGTATATACATATATACGTGTGTATATATGTATATGTATATACCTATATCTATATGATAATTCTGATAGAATCCATAAGAAGCTGTTTCCCACGAGGAACTAAGTGGCTAAAGAAAGAAGTGTATTAGAAACTCAATTTCCACTCTCTACTATCTTGTGTCATTTGAATTTGAATCATGTGCTTTAAAATATCTAATAAAAATGTGTTTATTGAGTGAAAAAAAATTGCAAAAGTAAATAATCCCACCTGAGATAAGGAAACGGTTCTCTCCATGAGTGTCTTGGTCCGCTTAAAGCCTGGGTCACTTTCTGCAAGGACATTCATGGTTTTCTTGCCTATGAATTCCAGAGCATCAAGACCACCCGTTAAGACGCTTTTACCCTGCAGACGAGATAATTGCATGAAATTAGATTTTTACGTTTTGCTGTTTCGTAGCGGTCAGCAACTCCTAGATGGCACTATCTTCAAATATTAAAATCAACATAAAGTCACAGTTTTTTCTCATCAGGAGATGAGAAAATTTAATCTGTTTAATCCTATTTTCTTTTCCTTGGAAGAGCATATACCACATAATTTGTAGGGCATACAATGTTATTAAAAAAGGGTTCTTGGGAAAAACCAAAGCATATTTGGGATTAATTTTACTGGCTCCACGTGTATGAATAGATATGTATCTAAGACATAAAATCAATAGGTGACCCTATTGCTGTTTTTGTTTGAAAAAATTTTAAGAGAATTATTTGGAGGAGTACATTAAAATGTAACAGAATTATTTGGAGTAGACTATTACAATGTAACAGAATTATTTAGAGTAGTCTATTAAAATGTCAACTACTCTCGCCAATTTAGGAAATTCTTTAATCTAGGACCCTGGAGTGTAGGACCCTCAGGCTGTTTCAGATGGTTCTTGCATACTTTCAGAAAGTCGAAATAACTGCCTATAATTAGTATATTCATGAAATAAGACAGGTTGATTTCCACATACTACTGGCTTTAGAAACTGTTTTATTACAAGTTATCCTCCTGCAAATCCCTTTGTCAGCCATTGTTTGCCTTTAAAAAAAAAATGAAAACAAGCAAGATTTACTCACATAAACACTCATATAAACAGAATGAGTTTACATTTCCATTTCTTTGTAACTTCTTCTGTACATACATTCCAACTACACAAGTGCAGTTATAATATGCACACACCTGTGTTTTTTCCCACCATATATGAATTTATAAGCATTATATTTTATTACATTATTATCTATCTGCATTTTCCAGTCTTCGTAATTCTCACTTCAACAGTAATATTTGATTTCACTGAATTAGTGTAATTTATTAGTCATTTCCATCTTGGACATTCAGACTTTGTTTTCAGATCTAGGAGCCAATCAATAATCACACTATAAAACAGATTTTAAAATATACATACTTTGGGAGGACTATGAGATATCAGCTATTCACACTTTTGCATAATTTGATTCATTTTCTCCTAACATCCTGTGAGGGATTACTTCAGTAGAGAATAAACTGGGAGAAGAAAGGACATGGGGACTTTGAGTAAGGGCAGACCTGGTGGGGTGTCTGGAGCTTGGGAAGAGGGAGTGCCGGAAGGTTGGAGAGAACACAGAAAGGAATGTGAGGACGCTGAAGACAAACTCAGAGTGCCCTGCACTGTAGCTCAGGGAGACCATGCATTCATTTTTTAAACCAGAGATATTTAAAGAGCTTCCTCTCACCCCAACCTGACAAACTCCCCCGTGGGCATACTAGACTTGTATTGCTACTTGACTTCTACAACATATTTGCTGCTCTTCCTTGATCCTACTTAGTCCAGAGGTCCTCAAGTAGCAAGGAGAGGAGCAGTCATTTTCTGTTTCTACCCACCGAATATCTGGGTGAGATATCCTCATACGTGTGTCCACAGCCCCCTCCTCCCATGTTGCATTGTATTTGCCTGTGGAGTTGTCTCTGTCTTCCAGGATATTTTGTCCTCTTGTTTGTCAGCATATGCCCAGCATCTAGTATAGCTCCTGGTACATAGAGAGGGCTAATCACCGTTTTTTTTTTTTTGTAATGCATGAATGAATAAATTGGATGAAACATATTTCTAGAAAAACTAGTTAATTGGTTTTACATAGCAGAAAATAAATCTTTTCTTCCTGACCCTGAAGATCAGCTAGCTGCTTAATCTCAGTTGGGGTGCCTCCCCCTTTTTTTGTCATTCATCAGTGTTTTATTGCCAATAACAAGCTTCTTTAAGAGGCAGGCAGGGGCCGTGGGGCGAGGGGGTTGGGGGAGATTTAGGATTATTCGAGGAAGCGGGGAAAGTGGGAATTGGGAGGTAGGGATGGGGGAAGAATGTTGGTCTTAGTTATCCGGAAACATTTTGGAAACATCTCGGGGATGTTGTTCCTGATTCCTTACCGGTTTTGTTTTTTATGTGAATGGCCTTATAATTTTTCAAATTGAAGGTTAAGAGCCACAGAGCGTCTAGGGAAAACAGCTGTCCCAGCTCTAGGAAAGAGCCCTCCCTCCCAACAAGAGGCTGTCCTTACAGCAGTTGGAAAGGACACTGTTACATCAGACTGAAAAATGTTCCTTCGAAGCAGCTCCTTCCTTTTAAACAGAAAGTATATTTCATTTTGCCCTTATTATTTTGGTTCCAAGGTTACACCCAGTCTGTAGGAGAAAGCACAACAAAACCATAATCCAAAGTTATGAGCAAAGCCATCTTTTCTCTGATGTATCTAGGTCACTGGTAAATAGAGATATCAAAAGAAGGCGCTGGAACACACCAGGGAAAACAGAGGAAGCAGCTGATGACTTACTGTGTTTTGAACCACATTGGTGATGGCTGACAGCATGCCCCGAGACCCTGATGCAGGAGACGTGGGTGGGCTTTCTGCGGGACTCTGATCTGTGGCCGCATCTGCTACTAAAGAGAAAAACATCCTTTTAGAGTTCATTTTGCTGATCTAAACTTGATAATATCTTCTGTTTGTGCACGCGATGTAACGCAGCCCAAGTCCAAGTAAATACATCACTCACTTTGAGGGACTCCATTTTCGGTATCAGGTTGGGCCCCTTCGGAAGAGCTGGCATTTACACTATGAATCCGTAGGGTGGCCCCTGCTTTTTCCTTGACTGCTGTTATCCCATGTCCTGTCAGGAAATAAAAATATGGTTCATGGATACAATTCTATGGCTCATCTGGCAGAGCTGTTGTAAGCTGTGGTTGTGTAACTAGAAGAAAGTGTGGGGGTTAACAACAGCACTGTAACAGCGTGGGTTCCCATCTGAGTTCAGCTACACCACCGCCTAGCTGGGTGACTTGGAGAAGTTACCTAAGCTTCCCTGACTCAGTTTCTTCGTTGGGTTTTTGTGAGGAGCAAATGAGATAAATGTATGTAGAGTGCTCCCAGATGCTTTATTATTCCCTTTTGCTTCTTACATCATCTAACTAGCAACCCGGGATGTCAAACCCAAGATATGATCTGTGAATAGCGTCCCTGTCTGATCCTCTTTACTCTCTTCTAAGCTCCTCAAGGCAGCTATGCATCACTCATTTTTTGATTCCTTGCAGGCCTAGCCCATTGCAGATGCTCCATGACTATTTGTTGAATTGAAATCAGGAAAGCCTCAACATGCTCTTTTAAAGTGTTAGTCATTCCTTTAGCATGGAGATTGCGGGGTCTGGAGCTCACAGGTCAAAATCAAAAGACAAGTCAGTGGGAAAACCAGGAAGGGCACCCAATAGCTCTGACAGTTGTCTTAAGCAGTAACAGTCCAAACACAAGCTACAACAGTGGTCAGCCAGGATGAAGGGCACTGGTTTTACTCCATCTGAGCAGGGACAATACCTACATTCCCCTGAGCCCAGCACAGTGGGTATTCAATAACTATTTGGTAAATACAGAGCTGACCTTCTCATCCTGTGCCCCTATCCCCACCCTAACACACAGAAACATCCCTCGGCCTGATAGAGAAATAGTCTTGCTTACATTTTATTTTGGAGTGATTTTTTTTATTCCTTAGAGGCCCCCATGATGAGCTATATAGCCTTTCTCAGAGTTCCCAAACTGAACGAAAAAATTAATAGTCTACTGATGGTCCTCAGTGCTGTTTGAGTTCTTGGAGGAGAAACAGCATGGGCTGTCATCCTCATGGTACTCACCTCTCCCTTAGCAATTAGGGAGAAAATGAAAGCTTTCACTAGGGACATGGGCAGCCTCAGGTTATTAAAAACAAAGGCAGCAGCAATATTAATATGTGGGGAAAGACGTCCCAAGTCATGGCAGGATTTGAGATCCAAGAGAACAACCTAGCTGTAGAAGGCACGGTTAAAATGACCAGTTGTCCATCTCCTGAATAAGAGAAAGACATGGATGAATCCCAAACCCAAATGGTAGTATTTTGTCAGCTGTAACTTTATTTATCGGAGTGATCTTAACATAATCAGGGCACTGATATTTACCAAACAGATATAAGACTAATTATGTCCAGTGGGAATCACTTGTCATTATGCATTATCAAGAAAACACTGAAACTTAAGAAATATTTATTTATAACATTTACAACATTAATTATGTAGAGAAATATATGTCTACATTCATGTGCAGATCATTAGACACAGTTCAAATTCATTATTGAGTTACTTGGAAAAAAAGATGCACTATAACTGCTTAAACTAAGTCTTGAATTAATTCGCTCTAGCTTCCAATGAATTCCAAGCATTTTGATGGAACCTTATTGGAGTTTCAGTAACACATTTAAGTTATAGGATATAATCATCTAACTTATCTACCTACTGAGCCCATATTCCTTTCCATCTTTTAAAAACATATATTTTCCAAAAGGAAATAATGTATATCTAGATCTCAGTCCATGATTCTCATCTAGATTTCTGAGGGCTAAAGTCAAGGAATAAACGAGTTTGAGAAGGCTAGGAGGCATCTGCTATATCTTCTTTGCATGAGCCATACAAAATGATTCCACATCCTTCCCTGAGACCATTCAGGGTTTAATGAACCTCATTGCCATTATCTTCTCTTTCACCTTCTCCATCTTTGCAGGTTAGGGCCACGTCTGATTCTTTTCCTAGGGAAGAACAGCTTCTCACCATCTCGGAACACAAATGATCACGGATATATATGCATAAGCTGCCTCTAGAAAAATTACGTTGTTTCTGGGAGGAAATACCATTTTCATGTGCATATAAATGGGATGTGTCTGTTTAACAGACATAACAATAGGCTGCAACTCCAACTACACACACAATTAACAGCTTGACTGAGGTATAATTGATATACAAATAACTGCACATACTTAAGGTTCCTCCAACTATATTTTCTGATTAACAATTCTCTTTTGTGAATTCTTTTGTTAGTGAAAGTACATCTTTGCTGCATTCTACTAGAAACACAAAGCTATGGTTTTTCACAGCTAAGGTTTAGGCTCTATGCCACACCCTACTTTGAAGAATAACTTTTAAAACTTTACTTAGTGTGACATCTAGTGCCCAGAACAAGGAAGTAATAATATGGAGTTATTGTCGCCTTTGGACTGGGAGTGATTCATTCTCAGAGATAGTGACTGGGTTCTACCAATAAGAGAGAAAAACAACAAATATGAATAATACCATAGGGTATAGTTCATGGATTCATTTCTTCACATGTCATCATGAACCCTAAGTATCCTCAAAGAAGTGAAACTCCTCCAGATTCTATAGTTCTAAAGATGGAATAGTCTTTAACCTTTGACTCATTGCAGTATAAAGAAGGTGAGTATTACAAAGAAGATAAGAATGTTGTATAAATGCTGTGGTGCTGTGTCATTTTAGAACAAATGTTAAATGATTGCCTGGTGTTTAATTTATCACCTATAATCTAGTGGAAAACACTCTAAACTTAGGAGTCAGGAATCTTGTGGAGGAATTTTGGTTCGATCATTTATTGGCTGTATGATCTTTGTGAGTTACTTAACCGCTCTGAGTCTCTGTTGTTGTGTCTTCTCTGAAAGGAAGATTATAACATCTGCCTCCCAGGGTTTTGTAAGGTCACTGAGGAGAAATATGTGAAACCCTTGGTATTGGCCAACATTTATTGAGCACTTACTATGTCCAGTTCACTGGACTAAATATTTTTAGCATAGTAAATTATCTCATTTAATCTTCTCATTATGAAGTAAGGGATATTAGTATACTCATTTCACAATTGAGGAAACTGAGACCTGGTGACATGATATCACCTGCCCAAGGTCCCAAAGCCAATAAGTGGCAGAGGCAGGATTCGAACCTGGGCCTTCTGACTCTAGAACTCACATGCTCAATCACCATGTTATATTAAGAAAATTTTATAAGTGATTTATAGTTGATGAAATGTCATTTTAGTCCCATTTCTATAACTCCTTGGAAATCATATCCTTGATAGGAGCTTCCTCATTTTTAAAACATTGGTTTATGCTAAAATTAGCTTGACTTATCTTACCTTGACCAAGCAGCAAGGTGAAGGTAGGTCACCTCTACAGTGAAACCTTCTTCTAACCCTGCCCCTCCCAGCCGTGCCCCTGGTTGACATAGCTTGATGGAAGGATCATCCCTGTGCTGTGGAGGCACAGATCCCAAGACACTGTGTAGTGCTATCTTACGCCTCCAGTTTAATTTTTTTCTCAAAAAGCATGGTGATTTCACCATGCCCTCTTCTTGTGAGTTCCACCAAGATCAAAATCCCATTGAAGGGAGGTCTCCCCTCTGTCTGGAGGATGAAAATAATTTTCTGGTGGTGGGAGGGTCTCTCTGACCAACTTAAGGGAGCAACAGCAGTTCTATGCAGCACCCTGGATGACTAGGTAGCTCTGTGGGTGCTTTCTAGTGGTTCCATATGGTTAAGGACCTCCAAGTTGGGCACCAGCTAACTTATTCAGATGGTTCCCCCATTCAGATTGTTTTAATTTTTAATATAATACCTCCTTCTTCATTTCATTTCTTTCTTTATTTTTCTTTTTTAAAAAGTGGATATATAAAAAAGAATCTTTTTAAAAAAAATCCCATAATCTCACTTCCCTGATAGATCTGGTTGACTTTTAAAATAATAACATTTATAATATTAGCAAATTCAAAGAGTATAGAAACAAAAGGTGGACCGGCCTCTTTCTCCCTAGACAGCTTCCACTGACATAATAGACAATAGAGTCTACGAGCTTATAAGGGCCTACGGAAATATTTAAGACCTGAAAAAAATTATTGGTTCTAAAAGACAAAAAAGAAAATTTGCAAACTAAAAATTAATATTAATTAATGTATTCAAAAATTTAAATATTTGGTCAACTACAGTTCAAGTAAATTCAACTCTTACACGGTTATATATAAATTATATATTTAATGAGGGATGTGGGTATATTTTATTATATTTGCTGTGATACAAGAGGGACTTCCAAAAGAAGGAGCGCTTGGAGTTCTTTATTTTTTATTATTATTTTAAAATTTTATTTATTTATTTATTTTTTCCCCCAAAGCCCCAGTAGATAGTTGTATGTCATAGCTGCACGTCCTTCTAGTTGCCGTATGTGGGACGCGGCCTCAGCATGGCCAGAGAAGCAGGTGTGGGTGCGCGCCCGGGTTCCGAACCCGGGCCGCCAGCAGCGGAGCACGCGCACTTAACCGCTAAGCCACGGGGCCAGCCCTTGGAGTTCTTTAAAGACTTAAAGTGGTCCTGCCTTCCTCCCTTTCCCCTCTGCTCCCCCTATTTCCTTCCTTCCTTTTTTTCTTTTTTGTGAGGAAGATCAGCCCTGAGCTAACATCCATGCCAATCCTCCTCTTTTTGCTGAGGAAGACTGGCTCTGAGCTAACATCTATTGCCAATCCTCCTCCTTTTTTTTCCCCAAAGCCCCAGTAGATAGTTGTATGTCATAGTTGCACATCCTTCTAGTTGCTGTATGTGGGACGTGGCCTTAGCATGGCCGGAGAAGCGGTGCGTTGGTGCGCGCCCGGGATCCGAACCTGGGCTGCCAGTAGCGGAGTGCGCGCACTTAACCGCTAAGCCACGGGGCCAGCCCCTCCGTTTCTTTCTAAAGATAATGACTTTGTTTCTTTTGATTCCTTTCAGGAAAAATTTTAAAAAACATATACTATACATAAGTGTTCTGGACCTGGCTTTTTCCACTTC